CTCCTTCCCAAAATCCACAAACCTAACTGCCCTGGTCGACCCATTGTCTCCGCCTGCCCCTGCCCCACCGAATTTATCTCTACTTATCTCGACTCCATTTTCTCCCCCTTGGTCCAGCAACTCCCCACCTCCGTCCATGACACCACCCACACCCTCCACCTCCTCCAAAACTTCCGATTCCCTGGTCCCCAACACCTCATCTTTACCGTGGACGTCCAGTCCCTATACACCTGCATTCCCCATACAGATAGCCTAAAGGCCCTCCGCTTCTTCCTGTCCTGCAGGCCTGATCAGTCCCCCTCCACTGCCACCCTCATCCGCTTAGCCGAACTCATCCTCATCCTCAACAACTTCTCTTTCAATTCCTCCCACTTCCTACAGTCAAAGGGGGTGGCCATGGGTACCCGCATGGGCCCAAGCTATGCCTGCCTCTTTGTAGGTCACGTGGAACAATCCCTCTTCCATAGCTACACTGGCCCTAAACCCCACCTCTTCCTCCATTACATCAATAACTGTATTGGCGCTGCCTCGTGCTCCCACAAGGTGCTCGAACAGTTCATCCACTTCACCAACACTTTCCACCCCAACCTTATGTTCACCTGGACCATCTCTGATGCCTCTCTCTCCTTCCTGGACCTCTCTGTTTCCATCTCTGGCAACCACCTAGAAACCGATATCCATTTCAAGCCCACCGACTCCCACAGCTACCTAGAATACACCTCCTCCCACCCACCTTCCTGCAAAAATGCCATCCCTCATTCCCAATTCCTTCGTCTCCACTGCATCTGCTCCCAGGATGAGGCATTCCACTCTCATACATCTCAGATGTCCTCGTTTTTCAAGGATCGCAACTTCCCCACCTCAGTGGTCGAGAACGCCCTCGACCGTGTCTCCTGCATTTCCCACAACTCATCCCTCACACCCCCTCACCGCAATAACAACCAAAACAGAATCCCCCTCGTCCTCACGTACCACCCCACCAACCTCCGGATCCAACACATCATCCTCCGACACTTCTGCCATCTGAAATGCGACCCCACCACCAAAGACATTTTTCCCTCCCCACCCTTATCAGCTTTCCGGAGGGACCACTCTCTCCGGGACTCCCTTGTCCGCTCCACACTCCCCTCCAGCCCCACCACACCCGGCACTTTTCCCTGCAACCGCAGGAAGTGCTACACCTGCCCCCTACACCTCCCCCATCACCCCCATCCTAGGCCCCAAGAAGACCTTCCACATCAAGCAGATCTTCACCTGCACATCTGCTAATGTGGTATACTGTATCCGCTGTTCCCGTTGTGGCCTCCTCTACATTGGGGAAACCAAGCAGAGGCTTGGGGACCGCTTTGCGGAACACCTACGCTCGGCTCTCAACAAACAACTGCACCTCCCAGTCGCGAACCATTTCAACTCCCCCTCCCCACTCCTTAGACGACATGTCCATCCTGGGCCTCCTGCAGTGCGATAACGATGCCACCCGAAGGTTGCAGGAACAGCAACTCATATTCCGCTTGGGAACCCTGCAGCCCAATGGTATCACTTCAATGGTGGACTTCACAACCTTCAAAATCTCCCCTCCCCCTACCGCATCCCAAAATCAGCTCAGCTTGTCCCCACCTCCCTAACTTGTCCTTCCTCCTACCTATCCCCTCCTCCCACCTCAAGTCCCACCCCCATCTCCTACCTACTAGCCTCATCCCGCCCCCTTGACCTGTCTGTCCTCCCTGGACTGTCCTATCCCCTCCCTAACTCCCCACCTACACTCACCTTTACTGGCTCCACCCCCGCCTCTTTGACCTGTCAGTCTCCTCTCCACCTATCTTCTCCTTTATCCATCTTCTATCCGCCTCTCCCTCTCTCCCTATTTATTTCAGAATCCCCTCTCCTCCCCCATTTCTGAAGAAGCGATAGGCCCAAAACGTCAGCTTTCCTGCTCCTCTGATGCTGCTTGGCCTGCTGTGTTCATCCAACTCTACACCTTGTTATCTAAGGTATTATTTGCCTGGATAGTACACAAAACAATACTTTTCACTGTATCTTGGTACATGTGACAATAATAAATCAAATCAAATCAAATCAACTCAAAATGCCACCAACGGGTGCATAAGATAATCAAGGAAGCTAATGGATAGCTGGCTTTTATAACCAGAGGACTGGAGTATTGGGATGCACACGTTATGCTGCAGTTATACAAAACCCTGGTTAGGCCCCACTTACAGTACTGTGGACAGATCTGGGCACCACACCTTAGGAAGGATATATTGGCCTCAGAGGGAGTACAATGTAGGTTAGCAAGAATGATACCTAGACTTCAGGGGTTAAGTTATGATGAGCGATTATACATATTAGGCCTATTTTCTCTAGAATTTAGAAGGTTAAGGGGCGATCGGATTGAAGTTTTCAAGGTATTAACTGGAAATGACAGGGAAGATAAAAATAAACTATTTCCATTGGTTAGAGATTCTAGACGAGAGGGCAGTGTGTAAAAATTAGGGCCGGACCATTCAGGAGAGATGTTAAGAAGCATTTCTACACATAAGGGGAGGTAGAAGTTTAGAACTCGTGCCCACAAAGGGTTGTTGATGCTGGATCAGTTAGTTTTAAATCTGAGACAATTTTTTCGTTAAGAAAAGTTATTAAAAGGCAAATATGTGAAGTTAGGCCAATTATCAACCATGATCTCATTGAATGATGGAGTTTGCTCGAGAGGTTGAATAGCCTACTCCTGTTCCTATATTACTATGTATGGCTAGTCCAGTTCAGTTTCTGGTCAACAGCAATGCCAAGGATGTTGGTATTAGGGGATTCAGTGACGGTGATGCCTTAGAATGTCAAGGAGTGATGGTTAGATTCTGTCTTGCTAGAGATGGTCATGGCCTGCATTTGTGTGGTGTGAATATTACTTTCCATTCATCAGCTGCAATCTGGATATTGTCTGGGTCTTCCTGCATTTGGGGACAGACAGTTTCAGTATCTGAGGAGTTGCAAAATGTGCTGAACATTGTGCAATCATCAGCAAACATCTCCACTTCTGACATTATGACTGATGGAAGGTCATTGATGAAGCAGCTGAAAATGGTTGGGCCTCGGACACTATCCTGAGGAACTCTTGCAGAGATGTCTGGAGCTGAGATGACTGACCTCCAATAACCAAAGCCATTTTCTGATATGCAGATATGACTTCAACCAGCAGAGAGTTTTGTCCCTGATTCCCATTGACTCCAGTTTTGTTAGGGCTCCTTGATATCACAGTGAAACAAATGTGGGTTTGATTTCCAAGACTGTCACTCTCACCTCACCTCTTGAACTCAGCTCTTTTGTCCATGTTTGAACCAAGTCAGTAATGGGGCCAGAAGTTAAGTGGATGAACCCAAACTGAGTATCAGTGAGCAAATTATTGCTGAGCAATTTAGTTATATTAGTTATTGACAACTTCCATCACTTTACTGATGATCGAGAGGAGACTGTTAACACAGAAAATATGAGCAGTAACAGGCCATTCGGCCCTTCAAGCCTGCTCTGCTATTCAATACGATCATGACTGATCATTCAAATCAGTGCCTGGTCCTGCTTTTCCCTTGTACAGTTTAATTGCTTTAGCCTCAAGAACTATATCTAACTTCTTTTTGAAAACATTCAATGTTTTGGCTCTGACCACTTTCTGTGGCAGAGAATTCCACAAGCTCACCACTCTCTGGGTGAAGAAATCACAGTCATCAGGAACATCCCAGTCATTGGGAACATCCTTCCTATGTTTACCCCATCTAGTTCTGTTAAAATCTTTAGGTTTCTATGAGATGCCCTTCCATTCCTCGAGAACTAAGTGAATATAGTCCTAATGGATCCAGTTTCTCTTCATACATTGGTCCTGGCATCACAGTAACCAGTCTGGTAAACCATCACTGCACTCCCTCTGTAGCTAGAACAACATATAGAGTTAACAGTCAGAATCTTTTTCCCAGTGTTGAAATATCTAATACTAGGGAGTGAGAGAGCGCAAGTCAAAGATGTGAGGGCAAATTTTGTACACAGACAGTGGCAGGAATCTGGAATGCGCTGCCAGGACTGGTGGTGGAGGCAGATACAATGAAGCATTTAAGGGGTTTTTAGATAAGTACATGAATATCCAAGGAATGGAGAGATATGGACCAAGAGCAAACATCAGAAATTATTTTCATTCAGCACTATGTTTGGCACAAAATCGTGGTTGAAGGGCCTATTCCTGTGCTGTACTGTTTTATGTTCTATCCTTTCTCAGATACGGAGACCAAAACTACGCACAATATTCCAGGTGTGGTCTCACCTGTACAATTTCAGCAAGACATCACTGCTCCTTTACTTGAACCCTCTCACTATGAAGTCTAAAATACCATTTGCCTTCTTCATTGCCTGCTGCACCTTAGAGACTGGTGTACAAAGACACCTGGTTCTTGCAGTACCTCTCCCTTTCTCAGTCTATACAATTCAGATAATAATCTGCCTTCTTGTTTTTGCTACTAAAGTGGGTAATGTCACATTTATCCATATTATACCTCATCTGCCATGTATTTACCCATTCACTCAGCCTGACCAAATCACACTGAACTATCTCTACATCCTCCTCACAGCTCACCCTCCCAACCAGCTTTGTGTCTTCTGCAAACTTGGAGATATTATTTTTACTTTGCACATCCAAATCATCTAAATTGTGAACAGCTGGGGTCCAAGCATTGGTCTCTATGATTTCTGACTAGTCACTTCCTGCCACTTGGAAAAAGATATGTTTGGTCATACACTTTGTTTCCTGTCTGCCAACCGCTTCTCTCTCCATGTCAGTGCACTACCTCAATCTCTTGTGCTTTAACTCTAGTTGCTTATCTCTTACGTGGATCTTTATCAAAAGCCTTCTTAACATCCATGTACATCACATCCCAGCGAAAATAGAGATGCATTTATGGAGTGCATCCATTGTCACTTTAAGAATGTGGTCACATATTTAATAGCTGAAATCAAATACTTACATGTAAACTGGGATGGTAGGTCAAAACACCATTATCACAGAGTGTCACATACTTCTTCTTCCATTCCTTGTTCAGCGACTTCCCACTCCTCTTCAAGAGAATCCCCTAAAGGACAAACGCACAAAGTCAGAACTACATGCTCCAATAGGAAGAGGAAACTTCATATTCCAGATTGGTACATCAATAGACTTCAGGTGGTTGGCTGAAATTCAATGACTGATAGATGGATTCATAGGATTACAGCAGAGCATTGCCCAAGGCTGTGGAAGTGGTTGCTGAGGTTTATTCTTTCATTCAGTGAGGAATGGGCTTTGCAGCTATCGAAACATGCTAACGTTTCAAATACTGTTTCAGACATCTATACAGTGTTTAACTCCATTTGTCAACAACTGTCAGTGATCTATGACAAGAGAAACTGTGTGGATCAATGCCAGTAAAGATAGCAGTAGAAATTCTTTGGGACAGGAGAATTCAATGACAGTGTAGATGAACACGGTAGTTCACTATGTTACCAATAAATGAGAACACTTTGACAAGCTACAGGAATAGAGGGAAGTGCAGCAGCCAATTTGTGTAGCAGAATGACATAAACAGAAATGAGGTGGAGGTGAAGGGTCAGTGGTATTGCAGTAGTAACCCAGAGATTTGGGTAATGCTCTGGAACCCGGGCTCAAACCTCTTCATGACAGATGTGGAATTTAAAGAAAAAAAATCTGGAACTGAAAAACCATGAAACCACTGTCAACTATTGGCCTTCCATCAATTGCTGGAAGGAAATCTGCCGTCTTTACCATACCGCCATATTGGCCACACATGACTCCAGACCTACAGGAATGTAGTAGGCTCTTAACTGTTCTCTGAAATGGCCTAGCAAGACACTCCGTTTTACTAAATCACTGACAAATCTCAAAAAAGTAATATAACAGGATAAATCACCTGGCACTGGCTTGGGTTCCAGAAATGATAATGACAAACTCAACCCTACAAAGTCCTCTTTACTAACATCCAGGGACTAGTGCAAAAATTGGGAGAGCTGTCTTACAGACTAGTCAAGCAACAGCCAGACACAATCATACTCACAGAATCATACCTTACAGACAATGTCCCTGAAACCACCATCACCACAACATCTCTTGGTATGGTCCATCTCACTGGCATGGATAGTGGTAGAGTGGCAGGATGGACGTGCCCAGAGAATCTTCAACATTGACTACGTACATATGAGCTTCATCAGATGAAACATAGACAAGGGCACTTTCTGTTGATTACTATCACTCACTTCCACCTCAAAGCTGGTGGCTAAATACACCTCCGTGTTGAACACCATTAACAGGAAGCATTATCATAGATGAATAGAGATCTACAGAACATATACTGGCCATGTGGCCTACCGCACCTATACCAACATGAGGGTGGCATGAGTTGAGACTGAACTCTGGGTGGTGGATTTCAATGTCCACCGCCAAGATTGGCTCAGCAGCAGCACTACTGATTGAGCTGGTCAGGTCCTAAAGGACATAGGGGAGGTGAGTTTGGGTTTCTGCATTGATGATGTGGTCTTAGCAACAACTCATGGCTGCTGCTGCGGAAGCAACCTCAGGCCCAGTACGAGACCCAGTGGCATCGGCAGTGGCTGCATCGGCAAGGTGAGCCCAAAGCATTTACATGGTGGTGGTGGAGTTGAGTTTGGGCCGACGTGGTAACAAGTGCCATTGGTGGCATCTGCATTGACGAGGTCCAGCAAGGGCTCATTGTGACGAGGGCACGGTGGAGACAAGATGGCACCGAAGAGTGGCGATTTTACTAGTGGTGGTGGCACGATGAAGGGCACACATGCCTGGCCACCAGGCCCATGATGGAGTTCTTAAAAAGGAGGACTGTAAAGTTGAATACTTTTTCATTATTTCTTTATTTTTCTGCCTTTATATTATATGGTTTGGTTTACTTTTCCGTGTTTTAAGATGGTACTGGAGAGTGGCAACGCTACATAACACTTTTCACTATTATTTTGTCACAAAATACATGTGACAATTACTAAATAAATCAAATCAAATCACTACTAGACTGGGTCTGCGGCAGGTGGTGAGGGAACTAGCAAGAGGGAAAAACATACTTAACCTCAACCTTACCAATCTGCCTGCTGCAGATGCTTCTGCCCATGACAGTATCAGTAAGAGTGACCACTGCACAGTCCTTGTGGAGATGAAGTCTCACCTTCACATTGAGAATAACTTCCATCGTGTTGTGTGGCACTATCACCATGCTAAATGGGACAGACTTCGAACAGATCTCGCAACTCAAGACTGGGCATCCATGAGGCACTATGGGCCATCAACAGCAGCAGAATTGTACTCCAGCACAATCTGTAATATCATAGACTGGCATATACTTCACTCAACCATGACTATCAAGCCAGGTTATCAAAGCAGGAGGGCATGCCCAAATTAGCACAATGCATCCCAAAATATAATTTTTCAACCTGGCAAAGCTACCAAACAGGCTTACTTACCAAACAGCTAAGTGGCAAGTGTAGACAAAGATAGACAATCTCAAATTTAATGGATCAGATCTGAACTCTACAGTAAACTCTACATATCCATTTGTGGTGGATAACTAAATAACTCATTTAAGGAGGAGGATTCTCAAGTATCCCATCCTCAATGATAGAGGCGCCCAGCACATCAGTGCAAAAAATACAGCTGAAGCTTTTGCAATAATCTTCAGCCAGAAGTGCCATGTAGATGGTCCATCTTGGCTTCTTTCCGAGGTCCACTGGTTCTAGTTTACAGCCAATTCAATTCACTCTATGTGATTTCAAAAAATGATTGGATCCACTGGATACTGCAAAGGCTACGGGTCCTACTGACAACATTCCAGCAATGGCATCGAAGACTGGTGCTCCAGAACTTGTCGCTTCCCTAACCAAGCTGTTTCAGCAGAGCTACAACACTGGCATCTACCCACGAGGTTTATACACACCCAGAGGAGTTGGAATCCTGGCTTGCATGTGTTAGCATACCATCTAATGAAATCTGGTCTCAGCAACGATGACCGAAAAATTAACATCAATTGTGGAAAAAATCTACTAAGTTCAGTAATGACCTTTCAGGAAGGAAATCTGACTATCTTACCTGATTTACCACAGCAAGGGGCTGACTCCTAACTGCCGGCTGAAATAGCTGAGCATGCCATTGAGTTCAAGAGCAATTAGGGATGGGCAACAAATACTGGCCTTCAGGCAACATCCACATCGCATTAAAAACACAAAATCGAAAGTCCCATCTGGCATGGAGACTAGGGTGATTGTTAGGATCGAGTCTATTCAATGTATCTTTGCAACCCATTCTGGAGGAGTTGGTGTATCAATGACTTAAGTTGAACACATGGTGACCAAATTTGCAGATGACACAGAGTTAGAAAATGTGTTGTGAAGATGACTTAACAAGGATGCAATTAAATATAGATAAGGTAAATGAATGGGCAAACTTGGGCAAGTGGAGTATAACATGGGAAAATGGGAAATTGTTCACTTTGACAGGAAGAATAAAAAAATTTAAACAGGGAACAACTTCATAATTCCAAGTTGCAAAGGGGTCTAGGTGTTCTAGTATAAGTCATGAAAAGTTAGTATTCAAGTACAGCAAGTAAATATAATTAACAGGATTCTACTTTGCATTATGGGGGGAACTGATCTTAAAAGTAAGCATGTTATACTTCAGTTATACATCTTAAATCTCAAATACTGTCTGCAATTTTAGTCCCATTTAACGAAGGACGTGAATGAGTTGAAAGCAGTTCAGAGGAGGTTTACTACATTGACACCTGGAATGATGAGGAAAGGATAAGCAGACTAAGCTTGTTTTCACAGGAGTTCAGAAGAGCGAAGGATGATTTAATTGAACTGTATAAAATCCTGAATGGTCTTGACAATAAGTCCAGAATGGGGAATTCTGTTTAAAAATTAGGGGTTACCCTTTTAGTACAGAGATGAGGGCAAGATTTTCTCTCAGAAATTAAGCGACTTTGGAACTTTCTGCCTCAGAAGATTGTGAAAGTGGGGTCACTTAATTTTTTAAAGCGGAGGTTGATACATTCTTGCTAGGCAGACAAGACAAAGGCTATCAGAGATAGATGGTAGTATGGAAATTGGACTCATAGATGTTTACACGCATCCATGAGGCACTGTGGGCCATCAACAGCAGCAGAATTATCCTCCAATACAATCTGTAACCTCATGGCCCTATTCCCCTATTCAACCACTACCCTCAAACCAGGGGATCAACCCTGGTTCAAAGGAGAGCACAGGAGGGCATGCCAGGAGCAGCACCAAGCATACCTAAAAATGAGGTGTCAGTCTGGTGAAGCTACCAAAATGCTGCTTGTGTGCCAAACAGCACAAGTGATAGATGGAGGTAAGCAATCCTACAACCAATTAATCAGATCTACACTCTGCAGTCCTGCGACATTAGTTATGAACAGTGGTGGACAATTAAGCAACTCACTGGGGGCAGGACACTGCATAAATATCCCTATCTTTAATGATGGAAGAGCCCAACAAATCAATGGAAAAGATAAGGCCAAAGAATTCGCGAAAAAGTTCAACCAGAACTGCTGAGTAGGTGATCCATCTTGGCCTCCTCCAATGTCCCCAGCATCACAGATACCAGTTTTCAGCCAATTCCATTCACTCCATATGATATCAAGAAACAGTTGGAGGCACTGGATACTTCAAAGGCAATGGGCCCTGACAACATTTCTAGATGAAAGTCATCAGGGTTTGGAAGCTGCGGTCTAAGAATTTTTGGTGAATTTCTGCAGTGTATCTTATAGATGGTACACACTGCTGCTATTGAGTGTCAGTCGTAGAAGGACTGGATGCTTGTGGATGTGGTGCCAAACAAGCGGGGGCTGCATTGACCCTGGATGATGTCAAGCTTCTTGAGCGCTGTTGGAGCTGCACTCATTCAAGCAAGTGGGGAGTATTCCATCACACTTTTGACTTGTGGTGGACAGGCTTTGGGGAGTGAGGAGGTGAGTTACCCGCTGCAGTATTCCTAGCCTCTGATCTGCTCTTGTAGCCACTGTGTTTATGTGGTGAGTCCAGT